CAATTATACATCGCGCAGTGACGAGTTTGGTAAAATATCGCGTGGTTATGAAGACAGTTTCGACTTGGGTAAGTTTATTATTAATAGATACTTCAAAGGACCAGATTTGTTAAATGATTTGTTGCAGTTTAGTTTTTATTCCGATAACACAGAAGAAACGAAACTAAGTTTAGAAGCGTCTTGTTAGGTCTGCTATCGGATCAACTAAATGGCATAGGATTAGGATAATTAAAGGCATCCTATTTTAGAGACATGAGAAACATTTTACTAAATCAACTAAACCAATCCAAGGGAATATTGAGTAAAAAAATAGTTAATAATAATCACTCAAGAAATGATGTTGGAGAGAATAATATACATGTTGAATTGAACATTTCACAGATGTTTAAACTTATGATAGGTTTAAACAGAATTGTCGTTGATAATAGGTTGCTATATAACAAACAGCTATGCAAGGATAATAACCCGACCCTTTTCAGTCCTACGAAAAAAGCTAAAACAATAAACCAACGTCAATCACTATTCGAAGAGAATATAGAACAAAATAATACAAATGATTTTTGGATCTGACATCATTACGACATGCCCTTGAGGAATCAGGATTTATAAGTGACGCATTGAATAATTGGCGTCAATTTTTTAGAATGTTACCTAATATATCGGATTCAATTGTGGCTATAATGGAAAATGGATATCATTTGCTAACCTGGGCCAATGATCACGTAATGGCCATGTTAGAAGTATACGAGAGAATGATGGACTGCAATCATCAATGGCAACACTTTTCTGCAAACGAAGATGGGCGAAGAGTTTATTAACCATATCAAAAAACATTTCGCGGATGCTTCTAAAAACCATTTTTTAAATGAGGATTTCAGTAAAGATGCACTGCGAACGACCTTGAAAATGTACATAGGACATGAATACAATTTGGTGGCTTTGATAAATTTATTGAGTGGAAGTTGTATGGCAAAACCTAAGGAATCATCAGCCATAATAGTAGAACTATATCGTGCTCCCATTTTAAACAATATTTCATATATAGAGGACGTTATCTTCACTTCCATTTTGCTAATGAACAATTCGTTAATATCAACTATGCTAAATATTTTCTTAATTTCTAAATTAATCGACCAAAAGAAGAGAGATAATATTTTCAAATTAAAATTTTTTTACAAAGCTGGACCTAATAGTGATTTAACCCCGTTGAGAGGAGACGCAAATTTTGATGAGTTAATATCTATAGATACGAATTATT